GCCTCTGAAGGAGGAGCAGCAGAGACAGTTGTAGCATTAAAACAGAGAATGTAAGTGAACAGCAGCTGCTAGCAAAGACAACAAGGTCAGTAACTCTGTCATTCATTATCATGTTGTATTCACCACTGGTAGTCCAGGCTGATGACAGCCAATCAGGAGAGACCCTGGCTGTGACCTCATCGTTTACAGAGGTCTCACTTTCTGCCCAGACTACAACACAACCCCAGAGTTTTCAAAATAAAACACAACCCCAGAGTTTTCAAAATAAAACACAACCCCAGAGTTTTCAGAATAAAACGGGTCCAGCAGTGTTTCTGAAAGTGCAGAGTCGTGTGGACGGGAGGTGAACATGTAGCAAAAGAGAGGAGTTTTAAAAGTAAAATGTGGTCATGTGGACGCAGCCTCTTTCATACTTAAAAAAGCTCCACATGCTGACATGTTGTTTTGTTTTGGCGTCCTGCCTGTGGGAGGCGGGGCTACACTACACAGCACACAGTGCTTCTCTCAGAGTATTAACCACAGCTGATCAGTTTGAAGGTGATCAATGACTAAAAGAATGAACTCACATCGACCCATCACGTATTTCTAATGAAAATCAGCTGATCGGGATCGGCAGGCGATCGATCGGAGCAGCCCTAGATGATGACACGGAGAATCACAGCTCAGATCCAGGAGTTTGTGATTTACAGAGAAACACAAACATGTTTTTTGAGGGGAGGAGGAGGAGCAGGAGGAGGAGCAGGAGAAGGAAGATGGTGCTTTACATTTTTAAATCAGAGCAATGTGAAATCATGGCCTGAATCCGAAGCAGAGGGACACTGGTGAATGGATGTTCTGATGTTCAGAACATCTGGATGAAACATGACATGATCTCCTTGTAGGAGGAGGGAGTGAGGAGAGATGAAACATGAACAAAGTATAATATACGTCAAGTTTGTTAATACATCTATATGAGGATAAGCTCCTCCTCCATGGAGACGCCAGGTTCCTACAGGAGCCCAGGTGGGACAAACCTGACCCTGGCTCTACAGAGGAACACTAGTGTTTGTATGTCACCTGCAGGCCACCATAGCTTCTCCTACACTTAAGAGGGGGAGGGGGAGGGGGAGGGGAGGGGTGTCCAGTTCAGCAGTGTTCAACCTTACCACTAGATGTCACTGAATCCTCCTCACTGGATTATTATTATTTACCTTGGAACTGCAGTTTAACAATGAGAAGGATTCATGTTCATATCATACAGTAAATACATATTATAATAAAGCATCAATAAACATTTCAATCTGCTTATAACTACATTACAGTGTGTCATTAACATTTATTAAACGTTTTTATACTGATAATAAATGTGTGAGGAGGAATATTCCTGTGAGAAAGGAAAGAGGAAGTTGTGGGAGTGATTTGACAGTCTGAGTTCAGCACCAGCTGACAGAACAGAGACAGACAATCTGTCAGCAGCACACACACACACACACACACAGACACACACACACACACACACACACACACACACACACACACACACACACACACACACACACACACACACACACACACAGACACACACACACACAGACACACACACACACACACACACACAGACACACACACACACACACACACACACACACACACACACACACACACACACACACACACACACACACACACAGACACACACACACACACACACAGATGGCAGCATCACAGTGTCTTTTCCTTTTTGCCTTTTTCTCTTTAATCAGCAGAAACATGTTTATATTAAATTATTTACCTTCCTTCCCTGTTTCCTTCCCTGTTTCCTTCCCTGTTTCCTTCCCTGTTTCCTTTTATTTGACTGTGAACATGTTTAATGAGCCAGTTTCCTGCAGTGGAGCTTCATGTCTCTGTCCTTGAACACATCACAGTCTGTTAGTTTAGCCATTTTAGCTTAGCATTGAGAAACAGCTGATGGGCTGAGAGAGTAATGGTGAACTGTTTTATCTCCTGTCTCTGGTCACACATCAAAATACCGTCCAATAGAAACAGAAGAAGCACTTCCTGTTGTGTCACTGACACTCAGACCACCTGTGTTCTGGAGAGACGTTTACTTCCTGTTTCCTCACAGAGACCAGCAGCTGTAGTCAGAGTGTTCACAGAGACTCAGAGTTCCACGTTGTCCTTGAACGCAGCAGGTTTTAATGTTGAGCAGCGTGTTGGAGGAATCAGCTGGTGAGACCTGGAGGAAACTGAACTTTATTGTTCCTCATTAGAAGTTCAAACTCCAGACTCTCCCCCTCCCTCCCTCATCATTATTCTGGCTGTCCCTCTGACCCATCTGTCTCTCCCAGACACCCCCCCCCCCCCCCCCCCCCTCTCCT